GGTCTACCGAATATAGTTTTGTGTTTAGACTTAAGGTTTAACTTTGGCACTTTACCACTCAGTTGGTTCATTCACATATCAATGTGATTGTTCAACACAAGCTAAGGTACACTAATTCATCCGAGGGATCTATTAAGTCGCGAACCTAGTTCAACTTGTAACTCTAGAGCCAAGTTAAGTGCACACAAGGAAATGACAAGGTTCTAGATGAGTACTGACTTGAGTTTTGGTGGTTGTCACAGTCTCCCCCAGTTGTGGGAATTTTGTCCTGAAATTCAACTAGCGGTAACACTAGTTCAGACATAACGAATAGTTGAGGGTATTTGTTCTTCATGAAATCCTCCCGTTCCCATGTAAACTTGGGCCCATGCTTAGAGTTCCAACGAACTTTCACGATTGGTATTTTACTTTGTTATAGTTGCTTAACCTCTCGATCGAGTATTTCTATGGGTTCCTCCACGAATTTTAGTCGATCATTATTTTGGAGGTCCCCGAGAGGTATGTGTAGGGATGCCTCCGCCAAGCACTTTTTGAGGTTTGACACATGGAATGTGACGTGTATCGCACTCAGTTCATCTGGTAGCTTGAGATTATATGCCACTGGACCGACCCTTTCGATAATCTCGAAGGGTCCTACATAACGGGGACTCAATTTTCCTCGTTTACCAAAGCGCACAACTCCTTTCCACGGGGATATTTTTAAGAGTACTCTGTCTCCCTTTTGAAATTCCAAGGGTTTCCTACGCTTGTCAGCATAGCTCTTCTGGCGATCGCGTGCAGCTTTTAGTCTATCATGTATTATCGAGATCTTTTCAGTGGTCTCTTGAATTAAATCCAGTCTCGTTAACTGCCCCGTACAAGGCCTCATAGGGGGCACATTGAATGCTCGTATGGTAGCTATTATTATAGGAGAACTCGGCTAACGGCAAATGGTTATCCCAACTTCCTCCAAAGTCAATCACGCAAGCCCGGAGCATATCTTCTAATGTCTGAATGGTTCTTTCGCTCTGACCGTCTGTCTAGGGATGATAGGCGGTACTTAAGTCTAAACGTGTCCCTAAGGCTTTTTGAAGTGACTGCCAAAATCGATACGTAAAACGGCTATCTCTATCTGAAATGATGGAAATAGGTACTATGTGGCGTACTACGATCTCGTCTATGTAAATTCGAGCAAGCCTTTCCATTCGGTAATCATCTCGGATAGGAAGAAAGTGTGCGGATTTCGTCAGTCTGTCCACCACCACCCAAATAGAATCGTGTCCCTTCGCGGTCCTTGGCAACTTAGTAACAAAATCCATGGATATTTGCTCCCATTTCTATTGAGGTATTTCTGGTTGCTGAAGCAAACCGGAGGGTTTTTGATATTCAGCCTTCACTTTGGAACAAGTTAAACATTTCCCAATATACAAGACAATATCTTTCTTCATTCCAGGCCACCAATAGTATTCCTTTAGATCCAAGTACATTTTGTCGGCTCCTGGGTGGATCGAGTATCGGGAATTATGGGCTTCCTTTAAAATTACCTTACGTAATTCGTCGATCTTTGGTACCCATACTCTATTTTTGAAGTACTTCACTCCATCTGAACGTTTTTCAAATTGTTGTTCTAGGCCGTGTAATGTTTCACGTTTCAAGTTCTCAGTTTTTAATGCTTCACCTTGAGCGGCAAGGATATTGCTCTTCAAACTGGTCTGAATAAGGGCTCCGAAGGCATGTGCTCGTGAGGGTTTCACCCTTTCCTTCCTACTCAATGCATCAGCTACAACATTGGCCTTCCCTGGATGGTATTTAATTTCGCATTCGTAGTCGTTGAGTAATTCCACCCACCGCCTCTGTCTCATGTTAAGCATCTTTTGATTCAAGATGTGTTGTAGGCTTTTGTGATCGGTATAAATAGTGTACCTAGTTCCGTACAAGTAATGTCTCCAAATCTTAAAGGCGAATACCACCGCTCCTAATTATAGGCCGTGGGTTGTGTAGTTTTTCTCATGAACCTTCAAATGCCTTGACGCATATGCAATAACCTTGCCTTTCTGCATCAGTACGCAATCCAGACCTTGGTGTGACGCATCACAATAAACTGTAAAGTTCTCTAAACCATCTAGCAAAGCCAAGACTGGCGCATTACACAACTTATGTTTAAGCAATTGGAAGGCATCTTCCTGTGGTTCTCCCCATACAAATTTCCTATCCTTTTGGGTCAAAATAGTCAATGGTTGGGCAATTTTGGAGAAGTTCTCAATAAAGCGCCTATAATAGCCCGCCAATCCTAGAAATTGCCGAATTTTCGTCGGGGATCTTGGGGTTTCCCATTTCTTAATTGCTTCAACTTTGGTGGGATCCACGTGTATTCCTTTTTCTCCAACCACATGACCAAGGAATCACACTTCCTTAATCCAAAACTCGCACTTAGAGAACTTTGCAAATAATTTCTGGTCTTTCAACAGTTCTAACACTAGCCTAAGATGTCATTCATGCTCTTCTTTGTTTGGAGAATAGACTAGTATGTCGTCAATGAGCACGATCCCAAACTTGTCAAGGTACGGCCTACAAATCCTATTCATAAGATCCATGAAGGCAGCTGGCGCGTTAGTTAGCCCAAAAGGCATAACTAGGAATTCATAGTGTCCGTAATGAGTCCTGAAGGCGGTTTTAGGAACATTTTCGTCGCGTACCCTTAATTGGTGGTATTCCGATCGTAGATCAATCTTTGAAAAGTACGAGGCACCTTGGAGCTGATCGAACAATTCGTCTATTTGAGGAAGGGGGTATCTATTTTTGATAGTCATTTTGTTTAGTTCTCTATAATCGATGCACATTCTCATCTATCCATCCTTCTTTTTCACAAATAAGACCGGTGCACCCCACGGTGAGGAACTTGGACGAATGAATCCTTTTTCCAAAAGTTCCTGAAGTTGTCCCGAAAGTTCTTGCATTTCAGAAGGTGCCAAGCGGTAAGGTGCTTTAGCTACAGATGCCGCTCCAGGAATTAGATCAATTCTGAATTCGACTTGTCTTTTTGGGGGGAGTCCGGGCAACTCTTCTGGGAATACTTCGGGGTATTCTCGTACTATTGGAACGTCCTGAATATGTTTTTCTTCCAAATTCTTCTCCACTACATGAGCCAAGAATGCAAGGTACTTCTTCCTCAGATATTTGTGAATCTTCATGCATGAGACTATCTTCAAGTTCTTGCCTGGTTTCTCTCCGTACACTATAAGGGTTTCGTTGTTTTGGAGGGGTATTTTGACAACTTTCTCAAAGCATCCTATGTCTGCTCGATTCTTGGACAATTAGGAACTATCTCCCTTGCCCTAATTTCATGACCATTAGCAACTTCAACTATGTAGGCATGTTCCAATATTTTTGATTTCAAGTCTATTAGGGGTCTAAATTCATGTGACACAAAACTTCTATCTGCCCCAGAGTCAAATAATACTGATGCATAGTGGTTGTTTAGGAGGAATGTACCTGTTACCACCTCCGGGTCCTGGCTGGCCTCTTCCGCCTTAATCACAAATGCTCGCCCACGAGCTTGGCCTCCTGGATTTCCACGGTTTATATGTCCCGCCTGGTTCCTGGTATTGTTGTTGTTGGGGCCCTTATTTAGATTCGGGCAGGCATTCCTAAAGTGGTCCAAACTTCCACACTCATAGCATGCCCGTTTACCATCCTTGCGATCTTTGTCTATCCTGCAATATTTTGTGAAATGTCCTGTTCAATTGCACTTGTGGCAGATAGGGCAGACACCCTCATGATGATAGTTGCATCTCTCACACTTAGGTTTAGGCCCTCGATGTTGCACAGTTTCCTCTGTTTTAACCATAAAGTTCCTTGCCCTTTTTTGTTCTTGTCTGAGTTGTCATTCTTCTTCCTTCCCAAATGGTTCTCCGATTTCCTTTTGTTACTTGCGTTGCTTATGGTCAATATCCCGACCCTCACTTTATCATTCGTAAGGCGGTGCGCCAGGTCTATAGCGCTATGGATTGAGGTAGGAATTGCTGAAGTAACCATGCCTCGGATTTCTGGTGCTAAACCACATATGTATCGGTCAATCCTCTTGTGCTCGGGGGTGACCATGTGTGGCACTAGTTCAGCGAGTTCGTGGAAACGCACAGTGTAGCCTTCCACATCGGCTCCTACCATGGCATGGTTCCAGAAGTCAGATTCCATTTTCTGGATCTCATCCTTATGAAATTCCTCCCAAGCTAATTGGTTTGTTGCCTCCCTTCCATGGTTTCGGACTTGCACATTCCACCACGTTAAGGCTCTGTCTTGGAGAAGACATGCAACATAGGGAACCTTCCAGTCATTTGAGCACTTGCTGATGTGGAGTACAACCTCAATTCCTTCTATCGATTTCAACAATCCCACTGCACCCTCTGTTCCATGAAACTCCTTGGGTTTGCAAGACAAGAAGTACTTATAGGTGCATCCCCTTGTTTCCTCATTACAAACTCCGCTTTCGTCGGTGTTCTCAGTAGGTGTAGGGCCTCCACGGTTTGTCTGACTAGCATTGATTCCCGCAGTGACTTGAGCCACAATGTTAGGGGTAGTAGCCATTAGTTGTTGCGAGACCAGTTGAGCGGGTGTTTCTTCTTTGGGGCATGGTTCTATAACACAAAAACAAAATTAAGGACGTTATTATTATTATTAATTAGTTTTTTTTTGAAATAAAATAATAATAATAATAATAATAATAATAATAATAATAATAATAATAATAATAATAATAATAAAATATTTTCAAGAAAGACTTCAAAGCAATAAAACAATTTACAGTTCATGAACAATATAAGTGTGAAATAACATGGTGATTGAAAATCATTAAAATAGATTTCAATCGTAGTTCGTAAATAAAAGTTTTAACAAAGCATATTGCTTGACACTGCAAGCTACAAAAGACACTTCAACCATAGTTCTCAAAAGCCATAAACCAAAGGCATTACATCAAAATACATAGACCAAAAACTAGAAATTATAAACCATGACGTTTAGATTCAACCCCAAAACACAATCACCCAGACAAGTGCCACTGCCAGAATCAATGCTAGCCCTCCGGCTACAGCGCTAGTAATCATAGCTCTGATTGCAGTCCTCTGGGCGGAGTATGCATAACTACACACCGCATCCACCACGTCTGACATGTCGGCAATGTTGTGATGATGATAAGCAATCCAACTACGGGCATCATGCAGGTCTCGGGCCATGTCCTCCATGTTGCGTCGCTCCAGACAACTCAACCCGGTTGCTCGTATATAAGGCATCCCTATGACTGGGGGTCGAGGCTGACTAGGTTCGGGACGCTTGTTCCTTGGTGCGGGAGGTGTTGGCACGGGTTCTGGACACTCAAACCTCAATACTTCTCTCGACACTGGCGCACTCTTTCTCGTTGTCCTCCTATGGTATAGTCCATAAAGGGGTGGCTGAGGCGTCGGCTGTCGTGAAGGCTCAGGTATCGACGGGGCTGAAGTCTCCTCAGTCTGTGCCTGGCTACTCACTTCCTCTCTAGTCTCCGATCTTGTTGACGAATCTTCGGTCGGGTCGGTGCTCGAGTTGCGGTTGACTTTCGGGCGCGCAGTGACTTAACCAGACTCATCTGCTGATCCAAGTGCTTGAGAGCTAGTGTTTGACATGGCTACGCTGTACACGAGAAACTCTAATGTTTAGACGAGGTTTTAGCATCCTAGTGATTTTTTTTGTTTACGTTTAACCTAGGGTGTTCATACCATTCACTATAACCAATTCCGGTCTTGCACTTGCTCTTCTTTAATTATACATAGGTGATCAGGCTATGTATAATTAAGGTCCAGTTATGAATTACCGGAATTAGTTATACTAAATGGCATGTTTTATTAACTCAACGGTTATAGTTAGGCCTCCCTAAGGGAAAGGGGAAGCCGGTATTCTCTATAACCTTAGGGTCTGATACCAAATCTGTCACACCCCGTTAAAGCGGAAACACGAAGAGTGACAGGCTACGGTCTCATCACAAAGGTAAATAGAAGTACCAACCATAAACATTAAGCGTTTTAAGTTTACATCGCGTACAAAACAAATACATTCAGTTTTCACATTACATAGTTTAATACATAGCAAAAGTAACAACTTAAATCATGTTGGCGTCTTATTGATTCACTTATCGTTCCCTGAAAAGCATGCAAAAACGAGGGTCAACTATAAAATAGTTGGTGAGTTCACAGGTTTATAATAGTACATTATTTCAAAAATGTAGTTTATTCTATAAATGTTCCAATTTAGAAAACGATGAATGCCATTGCATTCCGTTCACAACCAAGCCTAACGACCGTTCCTGCCCCATTCCATCATGTCCATGGTTCCCATGATGTCAGTTTATGGAAATATGCACTCGCGGTTCCGGGCGAGTGGGGGTTGTCGACCCCAAATAACGCTATCCATAAGACCATCTGCTCAAAATGAGTTAATAGGTTGTATTGGTTCTCCGGGGACTTAACATACAAGTTCATAACACCAAATTCATAGTACAAGTTCATAATAAAAGGTCCATACAACAAAGTTCACATCATTAAGTTCATAACACAAGCTCATAAAATTATGTTCATAGAAATTGTAGCATGCTTTTGTAACATCCCAAAATTTAAGGACAAAAATTTCATTTTTAAATTGAGTAAATCATAAAATATGTTACCAAAACATTGTCAATATTACATCAGGTTTAAACCGCAATGCCGTGTCTCAAAATCATAACATCATAAGTGATAGAAATCAGAGTACAATCCCAGAAGCTCAATGCGGAAATCACGTGTGAGTATGTGATGCGCTGCTACACCGCCGACTCCTTCCCCTTAGACGAAGAGGTACATGAAACCAAAACTGAAACCGTAAGCACAAAGCTTAGTGAGTTCCCCCATCATACCACATACCATATAATACCATCGATATCTTTCAACCGGTAACTGCCATCGGTATCTTTCAACCGATATCTAACATCGATATTTTTCAACCGGTAACCGTCATCGGTATCTTTCAACCGGTAACCGCCATCGATATCTTTCAACCGGTAACTAGGGAATATTTCACCCCCTTCCATTATCACACAATAACAAGACATAATCATACAGTCAGGCATAACTGGGTACTGACCTACCCTTCAGTCCTAAAGACCGATGTCAGGGAAAGACTATTCCCTACTACTACCATAAACGCACATAGCATATTATACAGGCATAACTCATGACCAAAAACACATAAGCATACCAAGATAATTATCACATAGACAATTATCTACCGAATACCCCTGTTGGTGGGTCGGCATTGTGGCCTTAGACCCACCCCTACTGGAAGGTAACTCACCTCGTATGAGTGACTACTAATGATCTGGCTGAGAGATCTCTGTTTGCTGCTGCTGCTCCGGAAATCCTCCGGCTATAAATCCCACAAACACCCAGTCAGAATCTGGTAATTACTCTTAGGGTAAAATGACTCTTTTACCCCTGACCAAGTCAAAGTCAAAGTCAAAGTCAACTTTCAGTTGACCTAACTCGCCGAGTTGGGCCGCCAACTCGTCGAGTCCCTATCCTTTCAACTATCCTCATCCACGCCTCTACTCGTTGAGTTTAGCAATGACTCGACGAGTTCTCCTTCTATACGAACATCGAATGATCCTTCATCGGACTCGCCGAGTTGTATGAACAACTCATCGAGTTTACCTTCATCTGTTGAACAAGTCCTGTGCTTGACTCGTCGAGTTGTATGAACAACTCGTCGAGTTCATCTTCAATTGATGGGAGATTGCCATGGACTCACCGAGTCTGCTCATGCACTCGTCGAGTCCTATGAACTCCAGGTCTATGGCTAAGTCCAATACGTTGGGTCACTCCTTTGGACCTTCTGAAACCCTTCTAACACTCAACTGAGTCCCTTTGACCCTCAACAGATTTGGGGACAACAAGCCTTGGACTCGCCGTGTCTAGATTGTCCAAGGCTCATTTCTCGATTTCTGGTGTACAACACTTGACCAAAAGATAGATCAAGGTTCCTAAGATCGGTCTAGCACGTAAAGTTACAAACTTTACGTGCATGCATGGAACTAAGAGCTAAAAAGACCCTAAAAGAAGCTCTTAAGTTGCATGAGGCCTTCTATGGGTGCAAAGGCAGTCCCTTTCTGCATTGTAACCCCTTTATGAGCCTGAATCTGAAGCCTCAACCCCCAACCATGCTTGCAATCATGGTTGGTCACCAAGAATGGCTCATAAGAGCCCTAAATCTCCCCAAAAAGGGATCTAACACATGAATAAACAAGGTATCGACTTTATACCTTCTGTGAACTGTAGGAGATGAACTCCTCTGGTCTCATCTTGGTTCCTCAAGCCTTTCCTTCCTTTCCTTTGATCACAAACCCCAAAGATTACTCAAAAGCCTTTAGATCTTCACACACACAATTAGGGTTTTATATGGAGGGTTCTGGTAGCAAAGGGGACGAAGGGAGGCTGAATGAGATGCTTAAATAGGGTGCAAACCCTTAGATTAGGGTTTTGTCCAGTCAGAGTCTACTCGTTGAGTCCGGCCGCAGACTCACTACAAATAAAATTACATTTAGTGGCACAAACATTTTGTGGCATATTTGTTTTTATGCCACTATATTATATTTTTAGTGACACTTATTATTTTGTGCCACTATATCACCTCTATTTTCATTTTCCCGCTTCTGATTTCCCCAAAACTAAAAGCGTTCCGCCACCCCAAAAATTGAATTTCATATTCAACTAGTATTTTCCCACTTATCTTTAAAAACTTACCTAATTTCCCCCGCCCAAAAATTGACACCATCGTTTCCTCCACCACCCAAACCCCAAATTGACCTAAGTTCCCCTAAATATTCCATCGACATGGGTTAACCTTCAACTCCTTTGGTTTCTGCTTTTATTGCGATAGATAAGATAAAGTTGTTACTGGTTTTAGATTTGAGGAGGAGAGATTCTAAGTGTTGATGTTGTTATCGCAAGAATTCTAGAAGCTGCGTTTGTTTCTCGTATTTACTGGGATATAAGAGGTAAAATGAGCTAAGTTCAATTTAGGATTAAAGTTGTTACTGGTTGTAATTCCTTAGACCCTCATTGATCTCACCCTATGATATCTATCTATCTCTCATAGACTTGTACGCCTCTTTGATACTCTTTTTTCTCTAATATTTCGCAGCGTTGAGGTTCATATCTCAATCATCACCGGCACCTCACAAATTTCCAAATCTCTGGTCTATATCAAGTCATGTTGTTGTTGTGTTTTGGAGATTTACAGCACACACGGTTTGATCTGTGTATTTTTTTGTTGATTTCTTCTTGTCGTATTCTCTCGTTGATTTCACATTTTAGGTATTAGATTTTCCTACATTGGTTTTAGGTCATAATTGTCTTTATAAGTTATAGATGTATTGATTTAATGGTTTTACTCCTTTGTTTTACAGAACATTACACGGTGGTTAGTCTTTTATTGCCTGGTTGATCTAGGTAATTAACTTCTTTTTATATTTTTACTTTTTTGCATTGTTGATATATGTTGACTGTTGCTTTAATTTATAATTCACATTGCTTTAATTTATAATTCACAAAACGTATTCCTTAGTTTCTTTTAACAATTATTTTACTTTATTTTTTTGTTTTCAATTGTGTATAGGAAAATTGCAAAAGAATTAGGATTTATTTTACATGTTTATATTAAATATCAAACTCTTTTAGGAATAGAAGATGTTTGGGTTATAAATTGATGATGGAAAGAGACCTTTTAACACACATAAAATTTTAACATTTCATGATTATTTGGGTCATGCTGAAGAAATTTTGATTAAGTTTTTTTGTTTTAATTGAGTATCAACTTCTTTTTAGGAATAAGCATTGTTTGTATTATATATTGATACATGAAACTAGACTTTTTAACAGATACTAGCCTTACATATTTAAGTTAATTGATCAGTGAAATGGAAGAAAAATAACTAAAACTTATTTCAAGATTTTATTTCTGTGTTTGATTATTGATTACTAATTTATAATGTTTTAAAATATGTTTCCTTAACAACCACTATTAGATGTTTCCTATACTAATTGTCTCATTTAAATATAATAGCTGCATTCTTCAGAATCTCTTTAGCAAGGGTAATTATTTGCTTCTAGCCTCCTGAAAGCTAGACGCCTCTACCCTTCTTTTCCCACGGTAAGTTTCATATCCATCATTTGTATAATTACACTAATGTTAGAAGAATAAAGTTAATATCTCAATTGTTTAATAAAATTTGAATTTAGGATGTTTTTAATACGTTATGAACTCATGAGCATCTGCAAGCTTTTCTGCCTTCATTGTTTCAGCTTCACTAGCTTCCTCTCTACCACAAATTATGTTATAACGAATACTTCCTATGAGACGAGTCAGTTCTTGGGTTTGCACAGGTGGTTTCAAGCACAAAATAGAACATCAGGATCTGGTGAAACCTTTTTTTTTAGATTACTTAAGTCGTTGCATAAACCAATAATAATTTCATATCAAGCTTTTTCTGTTAGATTGTTGGATCCATTCTAATCACCATTTTTTTCTGTAATAGATGTGGGTGGCCAAAAGGCAACTTTC